GGGGGGGCAGGGGGGGGTGGTGGGGGGGGGGGGGGGGGATCCAATCAGAACTTAGTGTGGAGAGATCAGGAGCCAAGATAAACCCATACTCCGAGCCCCCAAAACTGCAATCTCCTCTTAAGCTGGAGAGTGGCAGCTGGCAGAACAGCTGGTGAATAGGATTAATGTCAGAAGAATGAAATAAAACTCAACATATGTCCGAGCCTGAGGTGTTTGGACTGCGCATGATTGTGCCCCGATGGATGCCATGTGTGCAGCTGGAAGGAGCTGCGCTGGAGCTCGGCTGAGCTGCCTTCCCCACAAGGTCACTTTTAAGAAAACTAGGACCATTTAATGCTTGGATAGCAAAATTAACTTTCTCGCCTCCTCTTTAGTCTCCTCTCAGGCTGAGCGAGCCCTCAGAGGCGGCCCACCCCGACTGCTCCGCTCCAGCCTGCTGTTGCTGCTCATTACGGCTTACTCACAAAAAGAAACATCTTCAGCAAACACGGACGGGAAAAACTTAATTCAGCCAAACAACTTCGCAAATTTCCTTTCTGAAGTAAAATGTATCCCTCCGAAACGCAAAGATCATCGTCCGTATGAAAAACAACCCACACAAATGTAGACAAAAATGTTGTCTATTTCTATTTAGTCCTTTGAGAGGGTCTGCTAAAAATAATAATAATAACATTGTTGGTAAATACTCAAAAAATACTGCAATTTTTTTATGGGCTGAAAAATGAAAAACATTTTCTCAGGACTGTCTCTAATTTAAGATATACACTTTACACAAAGAAAAAAAAACTCATGTTTAGTAACTTAGTACGTCGCCATTTTGTGTCCTGTCTTGTCCCTTGTCTATTGTGTAAATCTTTTTTTGTTTGTTTATTTTATTTATATTTGTATAAGTGTATTTATTTTCTAATCTGCAACCAAAATAAATTCCTCATCCATTCCTGCAACAATATGATGTTGAGATTTTTTTTGTACCAAACTATAATGAATGTTTCTTTCTTTTTTTCCTGGTTTAGAAAAAATAAATAAATAATAAAAATACATAAATGCTGCATCTTATAAAATCATCTTGAAATACTGCTGACTGGATTGAGCACATGTGAAAGTACAAAATAAAAACAGATATGCGGATTTAATCTTAATTTATAAATTCCATTTCATATCGGTAATCATTAGAGCCCACACACTGTAATAAATTATAATAATTTCACACAAGAATTAAATTACTGGGTATCTTGCAGAGGAGCCATTTTTATGCTGGCTACCCTGCAATCTAACTGTCAGATATAAACCCTTCTGCTAATCAATGCTTCAAAACATTCACTTTTATTCGTCTACGTTGAATTAATAAAAATGTGTGAATAATGTCGCTTACTGTGATCATTTCGGCTCAGAGTGATTTAGTAAATTAATGGGTGCTAGGGACAAAAAGAAACTGATAAGATCCACATGAATAGATTAAAATTTGCTGTGAAGCTAACTGTCTTGAGTCGTCACTGAAACTTTATTTCATCTTATACGCCGGAGCAACTTGGACTTGCTTGATGTGTTCTCCCCACAATATATGGCGAATTTAAACGTGGTGTCAAGAAGATGATGTGCTGCTAAAATTAAAATAGAAGACACTTCAAGCATAAAAGCATTACAGCTCGGTTTATACGCATGCTTTGGGTAAAGTACTTGACAGAGTGTTTCATTTCTTGAAGTCTTAATGTTTAATGTTTAAGAAAAATATTAAAATGGCGTTAAAATTTCTGCTCTTTAGTAAACTAGGTATGTGCTAAAACTAACTAGTGTTTTACAGCCACAAGTGAACAGTTTTACAGTAATAAACAGTGCTGTATGAGTGCACGAGGGCACTAAACAGTTACAGTATAGTTAAAAGGAGGCATCTTCGTTCTTTGTAAAACTCACTTGACTAATTAAGGAAGCATATTTTCCACACTGCCACTGACATTCTTCACTTTTATGAAGCAACAATTAAAAATGTTTATGGTCCCGTGCAGCGCACTCTGTTTACCAGCATGTCAGAGTTCAGCGTTTGCGCACACGGGCCTGAAAGGTCACTATTTTTAGCCGCCAACCTCCATTCTCTCGCACACACGCTATCATGTAACTGCACACTCTCACTACTTCACAGACCACCAAAGACTGGGGGGTTCAGCCCACACTGCTGCACGCAGGAATATAATCCGCCTGTGGAGAACCACTGAACAATACAGACACAATCTATCTACTTCTGCCCATTATCAGTAGCAGGACGCTGTGAGAAGGATGTGAATTATAAAGTGGCTGAAATGTAGTGTCTTTGTCTGTTGATATTCGAGCAAGTATAATGAAGAGGTTGTAACGACATGGCGCAGTTACCAGTAACCATAGTATTTCAAAAGGTTAAGAATTTCAATTCTTCACAAGTCTGCAGCTAACACACTCAATTTACCATTGTTTCCTGCATGGTTCTGCAACAATAGCCACCATATTTTCTTTCGAATCGACCCGTTTCTTTTTCTCTCTGCTGTGGGGCTATATCCACCACAACATGCTGTGAGAGCATGGAAAACGCTGCCGTTTCACATGAAGGTAAGCTAATTTCTTCATCACCTCTCAAGAATGGGAAAAAAGTGTGTATGAGATGTAGAGACAAAAAATATATATATGGGGTGGGGGGATACACCATGCAATGCCAGACCCAGACCAGGCATCCTCAGGCAGGGCACTCTGGGATATTAAAGGAGTGAGAAAAGTGTGCCTCACCACCCAAATCACAAATTGCAGTAGATGGAATTTTACAAAAAAAGAAAAAATATATATTTTTCACAACCCACAAAACCATTAATTAGAATTAAAACTCATAACTTTAAGCTATCATTGGAACTTCATGATATGTAATGGATGACAGGGTCCTTAAACATATTAACCACTCCCAATGAGAGATAGCGTTCAGCGGATAATTACAATGATCCGAGCCGCAGCGTTCACCGAGCAATAAAACCTGTTTCTATCTGTTTTTTCTGACATCTTATCTCATCCCATGGCACCTTATTGAACAAAGAGAGAGCAAGTGAGAGAAAGAAGAAAGGAGACAGATGAGTCGTAAATGTCGTGTCCAAAACATACCGGGTGGATGTGAATTGTTCATTGTTTAATTCACTCAAAAAAACAAAACAAAAAAAATTTGTTCCAACCACTATTTCTTTCTTCTATTGAACACAAAAATATTTTTTCCTCCATAAAATGAAGGTTAATGGGGTCTAAAACAACACTGGACTAGGGCTGAGCGATATGGCCGAAAAAAATCATATCTTGGTATTTTTTTGCCTGAAATGTGATATACGGTATCTCAGTATTTTCTACATTTTCTATTTGGATTAAAAAAACATATGAATAGTTCAGAAGCAAAAGCCTCTAAGTGCCATCTGAAATTTTACCACTGAAAAATTACTATTTTTATCAGGCTCCTATGTTTAGGTTCAGTAATTTTAATTTAATGGCAAAACATAGGTCCTTTTCTATGCCATTAAGGTGAAACAAATGAACTAAATATAGGAGCTTGATAAAAATGCTCATTTTAGATGAAAATTTCAGATGGCACTTAAGAGGCTTTTGCATCTGAACTCTTCATATATATGTAAATATGTATGTACTGTATATATATATATATATACTGTATATATATATATATATATATATATATTTGTCCAATGAAACAATGTTTATATTAAAGGAAATGAAAACAAATCTAGTGAAAGTAGGCTATGCTATCCATTAAATGCAAAAAAGAAGCAAAATCACATTACCTTGCATGCGCACAGTGGCACTCTTTCACTGAAGTCTGTGAAGTTTAGCGAAGAATCGCATGCAGAAAGCTCCTGACAGCAAAATGGAAATATTTCCACGACTTTCTAACGTTTACAGATGGAGAATATACCTGTGCAATGTAAGTTATGCACTGAGGGAAAAAAGTAGTGTTGGGTTCGAGTCCACCTAAGTTGAGTCCGAGTCTTTAACCAATCGAGTCCGAGACAAGTCCGAGTCCAAAATGGGCCGAGTCCCACGAAACTCTATTATTTATTAGTATCTTAACATTGTTTTAACTTTTACAACTAGAAAAACGCAATATCCATTTAAATGTAACAAAAGAAAACCTCTATTGCATCTTGCCATTTTGATTTTTGATTTATAATTATTGTCCTGCTTTGCTTAGCAAATTTAAAGTCATGTAACAGAAGTTATGGCTGAATTGATTTATGTATTGTGACATATTTCAGAGTGAAATAGGTTTTAGAATGTGAAAAATTAAAGGGCGGGACTTTACTTTATTCATTGTTAAAGTAAATGTATAAATTCAGGAGTGGGGGTAAAGGAGT